AAGCTGAAGAAGAGAAGAAACTAAGAAGATATCTTCTCAAAGTTAACTTCTCTTCTGATAAATGTATTCACAGAAGATAAAGAAGAGAAAGACAAGGATTGATAATTCTCACATCTCTGAGTTCATGTTACAATCACAATGTATACTCTGAATGAGAAGATATCAGTGAGATGCCTACTCAACTCTGAGATGAATACTAACTTTATATTCTATTCCTTTTCTTTGATGAAGAATTGAAAGAAGATAGGTTCATCAGATCATGTAAAATTTACAGATGAAATAAAATGTCATTATTTTAACATAATTTAAGCAAAGTGTGTGATCACAGACTCAGAAGAAATCTTCAAGAAGAGCAGTCTGCTTCTTCATGCAGTCAATATTATAGATAAGAACATCATTCTAGGTCTTCTGTGATTGAGAGAAAACAATTCTCTCATTGACTGAGTCACTCAGATGTGATGATATCATCTCACTGATGAAGAGACAGTGATAGAGAAATCTGAAGAGTTTCATCAGAAGAATCTTGAGAAAAAGATTGAGTCAATATACTGTGTAGCAGGTGATTGAGACTTGAAGACAGGTGAAGAAGTCATCACTCTCACTGCAAAAATAGCAGCAGTATCTGTCATTGAAGACAGATGTATATGACATCTCTTTACAGATTTTAAGAATGTCTTTTCAGAAAGGGAAGCAGTGAAGTTTTCTGACATCAAGATGCAATATAAGATTTATCTTGAAGACAGTGCAACAGTGCTGTATAGATCTCTTTACAACTTGTCTGTAAAGAAGTTGAATGTTCTGTGTAAATATCTTGAAGAAGTGTAATCAAAGAACTGAATATATTCATCAAAGAGTTCAGCAGAGATGCCTATACTCTTTGTGCCTAAGAAGAATGATAGACTATATCTATGTGTAGACTACAGAGGCCTCAATAAGATGACAGTTAAGAATCACTATTTACTACTGTTGATTGACAAGATGATCAATCAATTATCTGAAGCAAAGATGTTCTCAAAGATTGATATACAGAATGCCTATCATAGAATCAGGATTAATGAAGACAACATTTGAAAAACAGCTTTTCATATCAAGTACAGCAATTTTGAATATCTTGTTTTATCTTTTGATCTTTATAATGCTTCAGTCATCTTTCAGATCTATATAAATGAGGCACTGCAGGGCCTTGTCAATGTCTTCTGCATAGTATATCTGAACAACATTTTAATCTTCTCAAAATCAGAGAAAGAACATGATACCCATGTTCAAGAAGTGTTGAGTCACTTGAGACAGTATCAACTCTATATAAACACTGAAAAATGCTTGTTCTACATGCAGGAGATTGATTTCTTAGATTATATTATTGAGATGAATGGCATTTCAATGAATAGAAGCCAGGTCTCTGTCATTGAGGACTGGTCAGCGCCGCGGACATACTGCGAGGTGCAGGTGTTTCTAGAATTTGCAAATTTCTACAGATAATTCATCTATACATATTCACAGATTACTGTCTCCCTTACAGATCTGTTAAAGAAAAGTGTGAAAGACAGAAAAACAGAATCATTTACTCTCACTCAAGATATCATGCAGATATTTGCAGAATTGAAACAAGCTTTTACAGATGTTATAATGCTGAATCACTTTAACCCTGACTTACTCAGTCAGTGTGAGACTGACATATCTGAGAATGAGATCTGTGAAATCTTTTCACAGTTGATATCAGAGATCTTTCAACATTGAAAGAATCAGAAGATAATCACTTCTGAAGAAACAGATAATGAATTATCTGTGAGAGAAGACTTTTTCACAGAGTCTATAAGACACTGTGAATGAAGATCAGTGACTTTCTTCTTCAAGAAGTTATCACTTATACAGAGAAGATATGATACTCATGATCAGAAGATGTTAGCAATTGTCAAATTCTTTAAGATCTGATGATATTATCTTCAGAGTAGTAAGTACTCAGTGCAAGTTCTCACTGATCATGCAAATCTGTGTTACTTCTTGACAACAAAGAGCTTGACAGAATGTCAAGCCAGGTGAATGAAGCTGCTTTCAAAGTATAATTTCTACATCTGATACTGTTCAGATCGGCTTAACTCTGCTAACACACTGTCTAAACAGCCTGATTATAATATCATTGATATGAAGAAGAATTCTATAAAACAACCTCTGTCATCACTGCAGAAGAAGCTGGCTGCAGAGGATTGAAGTTCTCTAAAGCTCAGAAACAGCGCCGGAGAGGCAGCTGTGTGACTCAGTATAGAAGGTAGAAGAGAATCCAGATCTCTGTGAGAGACTGATACTGAAGATCATGAGCTTCTTATGTTACATCTTACAATCATTGAATTAACAAAGAATAAAACAGTCTACAATCTTTCAATCTGACTACTTTTGAAATTTATTGAAGAGTTACAGAAGAGAGACACCTTTACTGCAGCTTGAATTTAAAAGTTAAAGAAGAAAGAATTCAGTTTGAACTTGAAAGAGACAGGCTCTGAGTGAGATGATGCTGCTAAGAAATCAAGTCACTGATAACTAGAAGAATGTGAACTTCTACTGCTGAATGATTCAGTCTTTGTTCCTCATAGCAGGGCGGTGCATCAGAAGTTATTGAGAATTCATCATAATAATTTCTATACAGAGCACTTCAGGTTAGAGAAGACTGAGAAGCTTCTAAAATATAAATACACTTGAAACAAGCTTCAGACAGATGTCAAAGAGTATATTAAGACTTATGATGTCTGTTAAAGAATAAAGATCCTGTGATATAAGCAATATAGTGAGTTAGCATCACTGTCTGTTTCAAAGAGCTCATAACAGAATCTATCAATGAATTTCATAGTTGACCTGCCAAAGTCAACAAGAGTCAAAGAATATGACTCAATTTTAATCATTATTGATCACTTCACAAAGATGATCAGATATATTTCTACTCATAAAAAGATTAAAGCCTCTGAATTGACTGATCTGTTTTTAGATATCATCATTTGTGATTACAATGCTCTGAAATCATTGATAACAGATCAAGAATCTCTCTTTATCAGCAAGTACTGATCAGCTTTTTGCTATCATCTTATAATAAGACATCTTCTCAGTACTGCATTTCATCTGCAGACTGATGGTCAGACTGAATGCCAGAATCAGACACTAGAACAGTATCTTCAAGCATTCTGTTCATATTATCAGAATGATTGACTCAAACATCTTCTGACTGCTGAATTCATATATAATAATGCAAAGAATGCAATCTTAAAGATATCTTCTTTCTATGCTTATTATGAATATAATTCTTCATTACTCAGTGATGTCACAGATGATGTTTCAAAGAGAGGAATAAGCAGTCAGAATGTTGAACAGATACAGAGAATGAAGTATTTCTCAGTGTCAGAAGTAAAAGCAAGATTGAAACTTTTGAACAAAATTCATGAGAAGATGATGAAAAGCATCTGCTATGTTCAGAAGCAGTAGATGAAATACTACAATTAAAAACATCTTCTGATGAAGTTCTCAATAGAGAATCAAGTGCTACTTTCAGCAAAGAATATTAAGACAATGAGACTGTGTAAGAAGCTCAGTGAGTGATGACTAGAATCTTTTCTGATAATAAGAGTGATGAGTAAGTAGACATATAAGTTAAAATTACTCACAGAATTGAAATCAATTCATTCTGTTTTTCACATTTTCTATTTGAAGCTCTATAAGCAATGCTCTGAGATGAAGCTGTCTCAGCTGAATGATATTAAGATCAAGAGTGATACTGAATATCTTATAGAGAAAATATTGAATAAGTAAATATATTACAGCAAGCTTCAATACCTTATTAAATGAGAAGATTATTCATCATCAGAGAATTCATGAGAATTACTTGAGTATTTGAAAAATGCTGAGAAAGAGATTGCAATCTATGAGACAGCTAGTAGAGACTGTCTCATTACACATCAGAGATATTGAATAAGAAATGCTGCTTAAGACTTCTTATTTTTCTCAAAGGGTTTTTTAGAGATGATCTCATAGTGATGAGCCAGTGTCTTATAGACTCTGTAGCACTCTTCTTCTATTTTCTCTTAAAGAATTTTTAGAAGTTTAATGAGACTACACAAGTGTAAAATTCCTGAAGTGATTAGAGAAAAGAGATATTGAAAATCAATAAAAAGATTAATATTATTAATCTGCAGACTGCTGCTATTCTAATAGAGCTGCAGCCTGCTGAAAAAGTAAAAAGAGAGATCAGAGTCTACTCATCAATAATCACATTCTCATCAAACTCATTCTTCACTGTTGAAGTCTTCAGCACTGATATCTTTGTCTGCTGAGAAGTTAGCACTGCAGCACTGCAGAGAAGTATGCTGCAGAAGAGTATAAGAAATACTGAAAGTATCAACTTATCAACTTATAAAATATCTCAGTCATCTGCTTCAACTGAAGTGAGATTCTCTTTAATCAGTGATTAATCTCTGTGACACTTTCAATGACAGCATCAGCTGATCTCTTCTTGAGATCAGTCATTCTGAGGTGTTTTTTCATCTTGAAAACTCATACTTTCACCTTCTTCTGCAGATGAGCAAGAGAGATCTCTTCAGTCTTGACAGAATCTATTAATACTTAGAGTTCTGAGACTCTTGCTCTGTACTGCTTGAGTATCTAAGCTTCTTGTCAGAGTCAACATGACATCTTTCTGTGAGATAATACTTACAGAGAGACAGGAGTTGTTGTTACAGATGCAACAGAAACAATGAAAGTGAGAGAAGAGATAAGTGTATAAGATTCCTCTCTTCTTCAGCTGTTTAGTACAGTGCAGACAAGTAGCAGTGTCAGTCAGAGATCATATCAGAGCCTTCTCACAGAGAGAAGATGAAGAAACTGTGAGACTCTGCAGACTCAACTTAGCAGCATTCTGAGCAGGGCTCAGATGTGCTGTGAGAGAGGAACTATGAATTGAGCTTCTCAGAGTCACTGTCTCTGAAATCAAACTCTCCCCGGGTTCCTCTCTGAATGACCACATGGGGTCATACACCACTGTATTGGCTGAGGGGGGGGGCGGCGTCGCGACGGCGGCGGGGGGGGCGAGGGACAGAATGAACATAGACAAACTGATCAGCAGAAGAGATGACACCTCACTGCAAGGTGTGATGACTACTGTCACAGCTGTAAAAGAAGCAGAAGAAGAAGAAGATATGATAATGAGAGCAGTGCTTCTGCAGCTCATTGATGCCACTGCCTCTATCTTCAATCTGGCTTTCTTGACAGTCACAGAGACCGCCGCTGCATCATGAAGACATTTGTTACTCACTAGAAAATATCAGAATAAGCTCTTGATTGTTCTTCAAGAATAATACTCTCATGCACTCACTGTTGCAATTGAGAGAGGGAAAGAAAAATGTTTCATGAAGAGAAGAATCTTTTTGAAAAATCCTGTCACTACTGTTAGCTTTGTCTCTAAAACACATCACTTTTGCAGAGAATTTCATATATAGAATGAAATATATTGAGAGATCTGCAAGTCACTTGTTAACTACATTTTTCACATTTTAAATCAATATATAAGAAACTCACTTATCATGCATTTGATTTGAATGATGATGAGAAAAGAAAGATCTACACAGTCAGCAGAAAAACTCATCTATTTCTTTATATTATGCACAGCATATATGCTGTTAAATCAGTTGATAACTGTTGCTATATAACAAAGATAATTTCTAATTCAGTAATCTTGAGAGTATAGAGACTATGCTCTTAAAGAGAAGAGCATTGTCACACTTTCAGCTGTGTCAAGGCCCTGCTGCAGTTTCATATAGCTCATTACTTTCATGTGAATAATTTCATTCATTCTGCAGGCTGTCTGAACTGGTTTTCAACCACTTTATGACATCATTCAGATATATTATAGAAAGATTCAATTGATGAATATAAGAACTCTGCTTCTATACAAGGTCAGCAGATTACTTTTCCTTAGCAGTGAGACACTGCTGAGGTATTGCTTCAGCTATTCTTGCTTATGAAATGAGAGAAGGTATTCATTCATTGTCTATATAGAATAGCTAGATGCTGGCTTCTCATGAAAGAAGCCAGTAATTCATTTTACTGCTACTGAAATATACACAAGAGTTACTGCATGCCTCATACAATCTTCTTAGTATACTAAGTACCATATCTGTGATATTCTTGCAATAACTCTGTAGCCTACAAGCTCACTATTCAAGCAAGATAGTCAAGCCCACTCATACAGCTTCTCAAACAACTACCTCTACATGTCGCCGCTAACTAGCCACCGCTTCGGTTCCGCCACGTTACACTTTTTCATCTTTTCTTTCTAACACTGATTTTTCTATTCTTAGAGGAAATCATTATGAGTTTTACTGTGCACAAAGTCATGATATTCACAGATATCAAGAAGCTTTTTACAACTGTAAAGTTCAATATTGCAGAGACATTCACTCTGATGAATTTCTTCAGAATAATAGATTTATATCAGTCTATTCTCTAGCATCTGTCATCTGACTTCATAGTGCAGATAAAAGATATCTGTGTTTTCAGAAATAAGAACACAGATGTTGTACTCTTTTACACTTATAAATGTAAGACTTATACACCTTGTCTGAGATGTTGTTATAAGAATGAGCTGTTTACACACTGTGTTCTACTTTCTGTATTTTCTCATGTTTCTCTCTCTCTTTCTGAGAAGTCTCATGTGTGTTGTAATTGCATGTACAACTCTAAGGCCAGTAGATGTTTGTTTGATAACTGTTCTCATCTCTGATTTTGCAATTTTCATACACTAATAATAGTTCTTAGTTGCTTCAGTGTCAGAGGCTATTCTGATTGAAGATAATAATACTGCTGAGACTACTCTCTTCTGCTCTCAAGCTTCTTCTGTTACTTTCTCTTCCTTCTCTGTGAGAAAGGCTGTGTATATATCAGGTCATAAGTGTTTGATCTTGAGTGACTTCTATCATTCATTCAGTTCTGCATCTCTCTCTTTCATTTCTTCTGCCTCTATTCTCTCTTTCTTGACTTCTGATTCTGTGAGTTCTGTACTCTTCTTCAATTTCTCTACATGTACACATACACATTTCTATATTAGCATTCCAGTCAATCTTGTGATAAATGACATTAATGTTGTACACAGAGTGATAGAGAAATCAGAGATATATACAGTGTTACTGTAAGAGCAGCTTGCAGCTCTTAAATTTCTTATGAATCTTGAGTTTTGAGATTTTCTTTATTTTTGATGTTTTTCAGATGATGTGGCATTGAAAATAGATTAAACATGTGATGTATGAAAATGAATAAAGTATGTATAATAACATTTATTCTTTGCAGTTAACTCTTACAGTTGATGATCAATTCATTATTTCTTTTCTTACACTTTTTCTTTATCTGCTAGTTACTACTCTTATATAATCTCTATATAATACAGTATTCAGTGACTAGGTTCAGCAGCTTTCATCTTTTGTGATTCTATCTCATATATTATACTGTCTCTCTTTGCCTGCTCAGATCACTACAGTAAATGACTTATTGAAACTAATCTCACTCAATCTCTGAGCATTCTCAGAAGTTAAGATAGCTTAGTCTCATGCATTTATAAATGTTTCAGATAGTTTGTCCTCTGTAGTCTCTGTGATTGAACTGATGTAAACAGTTGAATTCAACTCCGAATTTCTTTTTCTTCTGTGATTTAACTCACATGTAAGTCTGCTGCTCTGAGACTGCTCTTTACTGCATTGTGCCTGCTATCTGCAGTGTATTATTGTATAATCAGCTACAGTCTTATCACTTATTGAAGTGTGATATTCATCTGATTTCTTCATTTCTTCTCATTCTTTTCTTATAATTGTGAAAAGATTGAAATAAGTGAGATCATCTGATTCATAAGTGTCTATGATTTCTCTTACTTTGTGAGACTTTTTAATTATAAGCTTCTTCTTTTTCAATGCTGATGATAGTGCTGTGAATAATTATAATTCACTCAGGTCTTGCATCTTTGCTTTCATAAGTCATGAATTATTTATTAAGTTGTATAAGATCTGTCCCTCTGATTCTTTCAATGTGTATATTCTCAGAGAATGTGATTTGAGTATTTTATATGACTTAAATTATCTAGATTGAAACTTCTCAGAACTCTCATTGTATATGAGAACTCATATTCTTATCTTAAGACTTGATTTCTTAACTAGTGAGTCTCATATTATTTTTAATTGAATTGCTCAGTTCAGAAGTAACTCATTAGCTTTTGCATGTGTGTGGCTGATCTATTTCAATCTTGATTCTGTGTCTGTAACTGCTGTGTTTACAACTACTACTGCTGTGTCTGTAACTGCTGTTTCTGCTGCATCTGCAACTGCTGTTTCTGCTGTGTTCACAGCTGCTCTCAGTCTCATCTTTTCTGAAGCATTCTTCAGAATGCGCGGATGCAATTCATACAACAGGTAAAATGATGAACACTTGAAGACTGCATGCTGTTGAATCCGTGTAATCAATAGTGCCTGTCTGAGATATTCATCTCATAGTCTTATAGACTTGCTCACTAGATATTTTATCAGCATGTTGCTTAAGATTTCATTCAAGTGTTTCATCTTTCTGTTTGTTCATGAATGATATGATGTTGTTCTACAATGTCTTGTCTATAACTGGCTCATGAAATGCCTCACTGCTTCTTCTACAAGATTCACATCATTATCAGTTAGAATCTCATGCAACATTTCATAGTTGATATAGATCTCATCATGTAGAAACTTTATTATCATCTTCTCTATCATCTCTGAAACTGCTTTCACAACTGATCAGTCAGTAGCATAATCAATAGCAGTGATTATTCATCAATTTTCATTTAGTGTTTATAGTAATATATCTATAAGATTCACTCTTCATTGTTTAAACAGTTGTATCATACACTTTATCTGATATTGCACTTTCTCATATTCTAATCCTTTCTTAGATTCTTTTATGACCTGACAATTCAGATACTTATGAGTGTATGTCTGAATGTTCTCAGTCATGCTTGATCATTATGCTCTTGATTTGAGTATATTCATGAGTTCAGAGCTTTCTAAGTGACTGAATTCCTTGTGCATATGAGTTATCAAGTTATGTTGAAATGAAGATTCTAGATGGAGAGCTTCTATATATTCTAGATTATGATAAAGTATAACATTATTTTTCAATTTTCTCAGCTTGAAGTCAGAATCATCTCTTCTACTACTTTTATAAGATGCTTATTATCTGACATCTTATCATTCTTCAAGTAAGAGATCATGATGTTCACTCATTCTGATTTCTTACATCTTCTCAGTGTATTTAATATAAATGTCTCTTATATCTGATTCACAGAACTCTTATCTATGAAATTGAGTCTGTGACTGATTGCATCAGATATCACAGTGTTCAATTCCTTTCAGTATTTAATATGAAGATTGTACACTTGAAACTCTGAGATTCAACATGCTAAGTGTTTGAAAGGTTTTATTATCAATTGTAGATAGATGAGACTTTCATAATCTGTGATCACTGTTATTATATATCTGTTGTTGATATATCTATCTCACAATGCCAGCATGTGCTTGATTGTTAGCAATTTCTTTTCATATACTGAGTAATTGAGCTCAGTGCCTGATAGTTTTCTATCATTGTATATCATCAGATGTAGCTTATCATTCTTACTCATCTGTAGAAGAGTGTCTCTGATAGCTCATTCAGATGTATTCATCTTAATATAGAAAGATTTATCACAATCTGATTGAATAAGCACTGAGAATGTTATTACATGTTTTCTCAGTGTGAGAAAAGCCTCTTCACACATAGCATTTCAGATAATTGAATAAAACTTCTTCTTTTACAGATTTGCATCTATTTCTCTTAAGAGATCTGAGAGTGATGCAGATATTTATGTGAAATCCTTGATGAATCTGCAGTAGTATGAGATCAAGTCAAGAAACTGTTGTATATAATGTATATTTCTCAGTCACAGCTAATTTGCTATGACATTTAATTTCTTCAGAATGAAGTGTATACAGTTATCACTTATTACATATTCTATGAACTTCAACTCTTCTGTTTCAAACACACACTTGATTGATTTAATGTAGAGCTTATACTCTGTCAAAGTTGTAAGCACTTCATTGAAATGCTTTAGATGTTCATTGTATTAGTTTGAAAAGACTAGAATGTCATTGAGATATATAAGATATGAGGTTTCATTCTATTTATAAAGAATTGTATTCATTATTGTTTGAAAGATGACAGGTGCATTTGTCAGATCAAATGACATTGTCAG